TTTTTTTTTTTGGTATATTATTAAATACTATATTCTTTTAGTTGGAAGCTTTTGCTCATACGCTTAGAAAGTTATTTTGAGATAAACATTTTAGTCACAGACATGTAGTATTAAAGGTATGATTTATGATTTAATTAGAGGTATCTTATTTATTTCCTAGGATTAGCTCAATTAGTCAAGTGTATCCACCTCTAATATTTACACCCCAAGCAGACAGATCTTTTCAAGGTGATTCCATCTGAATGATTTGATGCAAGAAATATCTAACAAGCTCCATACTTACAAAGTCTGTTATTTACAAGTTTAAGCAATCAGGCAGAATTTGACATAAAACCATAGAAAATGTTTAATATGAAAATAGAAATTCTTCCTCTGTCATTCAAATGTGACATGGAACTCCCCCCCCCCAATTTTGTTATGAAAACTTTTAAACAGAAAAACTGACTTTTATAGTGAACACTGATTATATCCATTATCTAGATTTTACATTCACATTTTATACTAACTTTGTCATAAGTCCTCCATTTTTCCATCCATAAGTCCATTTTATTTTTTTGTATGCATTTTAAAGTAATTTAGAGATCTAAGATATTATCTCCTAAAAATAGTACTTTAGAACCTTCCCTGGTGGTGCAATGGGTTAAAAGCACAGCACTAGCAAGCTAACCTTAGCTGTTTCAGCATAGATCTCTGGCCAGAGAGGTGATCCACATGGTGCAGCAGAACTCACCTGTTTTGCTCTCTGCTCCCCTCAGCAGTATACTTTGTCAATCAGCCTGTTCTGCTCCCCACTCTGTCTCTGATGAAGCCTCTCACTGCCCTTGCACCTTTGACCTATGCCCCAGTTCTGTGTGCATAAATAAATAAATCTTTAAAAACATACCACTTCAGGTGGCACAGGGGTGATTTGGTGATGGGAAATCCGCGGGGATTACAATCGAGATGGAAAAAAAATTGTGCAAAATGATGTAAAAGTAAACTTTGTAATAAAAAAATGCACCAAAAAACCCCAAAAAACAAAAAACATACCACTTCAGAATATCTATATTAACTAGAGTTCAATGTTTCCATGGAGTTATTTTTTAATATTTGATCATACAATAAACCTACATTTCTTTTGTGTACCATTTAATAAATTTTGACAAAAGCATATACCTTAGTAACCTAAACACCTAAGACAGAATATTTCCATCACTCTGGAAAATTTTTCTCAATTATTTTTGAGACTTTCTTTACCCCAAATGGAAACCACTGCTCTAATTTTTCTGTCAAGGATGAGCTTTTGAAATTCATATAAATGAGCCACATATTACTATAATTGACAAAAAAATTTGAAAACTTTTTTATTGAGGTAATTGGTTTATAACACTATGTATAATTGAGAAGTATAGGTTCACACCTCTTCAAATGTTATGTTACGACATTATGTCCACCACCAAAGCACCCATAATCCTCAAACATATTCCGCTGTGTACTCTCACCACCCTAACTCCTCTTTTTGCAAGACTGCTCTGTCAAGAAAAAGTTTCACAGTCAGATTTCTTGGGTTTTATTGATTTAGTTTTTCTATTCTGTTGCTTTGTTTCTGTATATTCCACATAGGAGTGAAATCATCGGCTATTTGTCTTCATCCTTCTGACTTTTTTCACTCAGCATAATCCCCTCCAGTTCTATCCACGTTGTTGTGAATGGCAAGAGTTCATCATTTTAACCTCTTTCCCAGCTCCTGTAGGTCAAGCATTATGATCTTGTTGCTTCTATGAGAGGTGGTGGGAGAAGTCCTGGGCGGGGATCCATTCACTGGTGGGAATGTGCTGACCTACTGTAGCAATACTGATATCCCTCTTCCTTAGTGTTCTGGAACTGAATCTTTGCAGTCTGTAACTTTTGGTGCATTTTACCAGGTCAGTACCAGTACCAAGGAGTGGAAGAGGGAAACAGAGCCCAGTGCAATGTGCTTGTTCTTTTCACTTGGGGAGCCAACCCATTGGGAGCATTCCAGCTCCTCCATATGGTTTTCCTTGCCTCCACACTGCTCAGCTCTTCCCTGTCCAGGGCTGCAGACAGGGGGCTGTGCCATAGTTCACAATTTGTATATAGCTTCTCTGCACAAGGTCATAACCTCCAGGCATGTCCCATCCACCTCTGGGTTAAGGAAGTATGAATTTTCTCAGGCTCTCTTCTGTCTGTCCTGGTGCTCTCATATGTTCAAGAGGTGTTCCAGTTTTGACATCATTTTGGACTCTCGGTTTAGTGTTCTGGGGAGCTTTCAGATCATCTTTCTGGGAGCAAAACAAGCCACTTTTTTTTTTAAAGATGTATTTATGCATAC